GTATGATCTATGTTTTTTAAAAATCAAGTGGGTGAAAACGTTTCATGTTCACAGTGTGTCGAAGGATTTTATGGAATGTACCAGTTGACTCCAATGAGCCAACAATCAGTCTCAAAACAATGCATGTACTCCTGTTTTCTTTATATTGGGTTGAGGTGTCAGTGCAGAGATTGCACAGCTACAATCCTACAGGCTCTAATCTCTGTGTGCAATCAGACGCGGCAATTTGTTCAACACTTATGCTCATTGTAGTGCTCTGTGTTTTACTGTAAGCATGTTGAATCTACTTTTGTCGGGCGCTGTTTGCTCTGTGCAAAGTGTTTGATCACCTGTGGGATTTGCAATTGCAACATTTCACCTGCAAATACACGCACAACATTTTCCACAGCACTGACATGTTCTGCGATATGAGGTCCCAACACGATTCCATATACATTTATCAAGCGCTTCCATGTAAATGTGCAATGCAATTGTATGAATACTGTCATGTGGGAAACAAATGTGATCACATGTGCCACTCATAGTCTCAACGGCAACTGTCTAAGAAATCATTGCTGATAACCATGACTTTGTGTTACACATCCACACTTCGTCCACCGTATCCCTGTTCTGTCCCCATCTGGCTACATAACAAATAGTTGGATTCTTGTTGATTACATTTCCATCATCCAAAATGAAAATATTTATGTAAGCTGGTGTCTTGGACAAGAGTTTGTTCATCATTAATTACAGACATGAGAATAAGAGCAGTGCGATTACTTTCATTTTTGCCATCTCATTTATCCAAAATGTTTACATCAAAACAGTAGAGTTGCATATTACCGCTGTGTGAGGCTTCAGTGAGTGATGCCTGTGTCATATTGTGTTACTGCTTTGCCTTGTGGTGTAAAGATATCAGCATTTTGGCATTAAAAGAACATACAAACAAAACCCAGACAATGCAATGTAGATCCAACTTTGTGTTGTGGAATGTTTGCGTCATATTTGTGAGTATGCTCTTGTTTGACAGATGCAGAGGTGATGAATTGATTCTTGTTTATAACAAGTTGTCTAACATGCATGGAGATACTTTTTTGCAGTAGTTGATGTATAGTCATGGCCATGTAAATGTGTGCATGACATAAGATAATATAACCCCCATGCAAGGGGCCCTTAACCCTGTTTATTGTCTTTTTTCCCATATAGCTTTAGAATCGATGTTTCTGAATCCTGCACGTTAATGATGTATGATGTGATCTTTCTGCAAGTTTATGTTGTGGTCCTCATTTATAATTATTTAACTTTGTATCTTTGAAATCTTAGCTTCCACTCACTTGTAGCAGGTCAAGGAAAGGAATTATAAGCTCTGTGATTGGATGTTAGACTAAATACAGACTTTGAAGCATATTAACTTTTCTCCATTTGTTCAAGTGGCATCCGTTGACTTTTTAAAGAAGAAAACAGATACTTTCTAACACAATTCTTCTTTTGTAGTGATCATTCAAGTGAAAGGGTTTTACTGGTTAAAAAGACAGGGCTTTAAACAAGATTTTTGGAATATCAAGGTTGAGTCTACAAGTCTAATTCACTCCCTCTAATATGTATTATTATAATC